TTACACCCTCTTGGCTTTACAGCTATTTAAAAAAACTGTTTCCATTAAAAATGTGAAGATACAATTTAGAAAACTCAAAGGGGTGAGCATCAAGAAGTGAGCATCAAAGGAGCATGTAAGACAATGTGGAGAAACACTAACGAGAAGTTAACATTTACTATTTTAGTTCACTTCATCATTTAAAACATAAACCTGGTATCTTTATCACTGACTCAAGGAGCTTTTCTTTTAAGCAATATAGTTGTTCAATACAAGAGATCAATTATTTTCAAAAGAAAATAAAAGTAATTGTTTTCTCAGATTAACAAAATCTTCACTAACAATGAAGTATTACAGAAAATTAGTCAGAAATTTCTGCTCTGTAAAGATTTTAGGAAAGAAATCCTTAGCAAAGGCCTCAAGCAAAGGCCTCCCTCATTTCCTGTTTTTTTAAATTTTGTTCATATATAAAACAAAACCAGCTCTCCACTAAAAAATATGGTTTAGGTAACTCCTACAGAAAATACAGTGGAAACAACAACAAAAATCCAAAAGATTACCTTTTGCTTGAAAAAAAATAACATTTTCATAAGTATTTCTCAAAACACAACTTGTCTAATCAGGAGAACTACAAACAGCTAACTCTCACAATAAACAAAAAAGAAGTCCCAGCAGCCTAAACAATACAAGGATCCTTCATTAAATTTTGCCTTTGAGAATGGCTGGGTCAGTAGTAACTGCCTAGTGTGTCTCAAAAATTACTACTATAATTCAGCCATAAACCACCTAGACTTTAAATATTTTAAGACAAAGCAAACTCTCACATTTCCAAAAGCCTTTCTAATTGTAAAATCTTTACTACTTCTACTCTGAAGCTTCATTCTACTCTTTCATTTTTCAAAAGAAGCAGCAGTAGGATTTGCAGTGTCATCTGAACGCAGTAAATCAGCAACTGCAGTACCGTTTGCCTTCATCCCTTCCATGAGTTGTTCTATGTTCCTCATCAAAATGGGCTGTTTCCTTTTCACACACCCTTTCCAGACTACTATCACACTGGATTATACTGAAATGTCTTTGAAATTTGTCAATATATAGTTCATAGTTCAACACTACCTATGCAAGAACACAGAGTATCCCCTCTGTCCACAGTGCATTCAACTGCAGCATAGTAGCTATCAGAAAATAAGAATAATACTGAAGGCAGACACATTTTTTTTGGATCAAGAATGCTACTTGAAGAGTAGTTTCTCTTTCACGTAAAAAGATATAAGCAACAAAGTTCAAGGTGAGGGTTGATTTCCAGTATAGCATTACCTTGTCATGCACATCCTGCAATAGATCACGGATAATCAGCTGTCTGTCCTCAGCCTGTATGAGATCCTGGGGGCAGGCAGTGAGTATAATTTCCACGAGTTGTCTCCATGACTCTAAAGCATGCCTCTTAGCATGGAGGCACTGCAGCAGCTTGTTCCGCTCCACTACATACTGCAGGATAGTGTTGATCTCCTGAATACCCGCAACAAAGAAATTGAGTTATAATATGCTAAAAGAAGTTAATGGCAAAGACAAATTTCAAGATGACAATTTTATCTACTAGTAATAGTCTGGGGAAAAAAAAAAGGTAAGTCTTCAGCTTATCAGGAACAAGCTGCTATTAATCATTTTAACAAGACAGGCCAATCCATTTCTGAGCTGCTTTTCACAAGACCTTTCCATCATGAATGTCTCAAGCTCACAGTAAAGAAAAAAAAAAATTTAACCAGGGAAATTCTTTTCTAACATACACTTTAAAATCAAAACAAAAACAACTATGAAAAATCTATTTGTGCATTTTCTTCCCATTTTAGTCTGAGTCATTTCTCCTTCATCCTTCAACTTCCTAATCCACTTAGCCAATTTCAACTAAATTTAAATGGTGGCAGGAACCTCAGAAAGTAATTAAGCTCCAAGTTCACTGAAACTATAGCTGTGTAGAAGAGAGGAGAAATAAATTGGCATCCCCTGTGAGAAAAAGGCAAGATGAATTTGGCTGCTACACACTGTACTTGTCAACAGCCAATCTTGACATCAGTATGTACTGCTTTCTGTACAGTGGGGTGGGAGCTGCAATTGTTATTAGTAATGGGGAGGGAAAAGGTTCAAGGAAAAAGAAAACAGACTCCAGGTCTGCTGTTTAGACAAGAGTACGTTAAGAAGTAGTTTATCTTACCAAATTTTAATGTCTTTTTTTTTGCTTTTCTTCAGGAATTACTAACTCAAAGTTAGGACTCAAATCCACAACCTTTCACAGTAAAGCTTATTGCTTGACAGACTATGAAATCCAACAACAAACAGTAGTTTACTTTTTCTATACTTACCTCCATAAGTAAAGGTCTCTGGCCTATTGCTGCCATTCCTTGAAGGGCATTGACTTCTGCAACCAGAACTCTGTGAAGGTACTGAAATTAAAAAGTTGAAAAAGAAACTTTAATGATAAGGAAGATGTATTTGTCCGTCCTAAAAGTATTTAAGACATGGCTACATAATGACAGATGTAACTGAAGGACCGAGATTCAAATAAATTTTACTCATTTTTCAGGTTTCTCCCACACTTCATTCTCTAACTGCAGTACTTTTCGCTGTCTAGTCTCTTTCCCTGATCACTGCGCTTCTTATTTTTGCACTCATTCATTTCCTTCTGGTCCTAAGTTGTTCTGTCCTTTCATGAGCTTTTCTAACACATCACACTCCCTTTCCTCTTCGACCTCTGCTATAGTCCTCTTGCACAGAAGGAAGGGTTTGTTTCCTCTCAAGTCTAAAATACATTTTACAATATAGAATACCTGGTTCCTTATATGGAATAACTGCATTCCTACCACCATCAAGATCACTTCTATGTTACATTCTGCTCCTGCTCTGTCCCTTGTCTCTCAGATCACAAATTTTTCAGGACTATTTATCATACACTTGCCATGTACTCATCACAATGTGATGCTATCTTAACTAAAGCCTCTAAGAACTACTGCAGTACACAACTATGTTGTATACGTAATTGTGTACGCATATGTAGTACTACATAGTTGTGTATTGGAGACCAATGAAATACATAAGGTAGATGTCATATCTGCAATATCACTTGGGTGTTCCAAGATGGGAAAAATGTTAAGATAGAAAATATTTCCTGAAAGTGTCTTAAACTGATGCATCTGTCTACTGCAAATGAGAAATCAGTGTGTGCAATGCAGAAGAAGAAATAAACTAATCCAAATAGTTTGCATAAATTATGCATGGATCTGAAACAGCTATACTTTCCATGTGAAAGCAAGTTTCAAAGTATTATTAATACACT